AACCTTCTACCCTGTACCACAGACTTGATTATTTTCTCTCCAATTTCTAAGAGAAGGGAGACTCTAGTTAAGACATTTTCCCTCTTTTTTTTTTTTTGAGACAGAGCCTCAAGCTGTCCCCCTGGGTAGAATACTGTGGCATCACAGCTCACAGCAACCTCTAACTCCTGGGCTCAAGCAAGTCTCCTGCCTCCGCCTCCCAAGTAGCTGGGACCACAGGCGTCTGCCACAACGCCTGGCTATTTTTTGGTTGCAGCCATCATTGTTGTCTGGCGGGCCCAGGCTGAATTTGAACCCACCACCTTAGGTGTATGTGGCTGGCAGCTTAGCCACTTGAGCCACAGGCGCCACAGGCGCCAAGTCAAGTTTTCCCTCTCTATGACGGCTCCCAGTTTAGACAATACAATTCCTAGATTCTATCAAAAGAATTCCATCTGTTTTGCTGTTTTGGTTCTGCTGGTTGTCCCTACATAGAAGGAACATTCCAGCAAAGCATCTCAAGAATGGGAGAGAAAATATCCAATGTACTCAACCCTATTATGAAACTAATTGTTAACTATCATAGGAAAGCTATAATCCAATTGTAGTCCAAGAATACAGCCAAAGGGGAGAGGGAGGAGAGGGAAAAGAGGAGGATGGGTGAAGGGTGGGTGATTGCAGGGATCACGCCTATGATTTATCCTATAAAGGTACCTGTGAATCTTTCTAAATGTCAAATATAAATGTCTGAACACAATATGAGAATGACATGATGGCTATGTTGGCCAACTGGATGAAAGTATTTCAAATTATATATGGAAACAACACACTGTATCCCATAATAGTATTAATGTGCACAAATATGATTTAATTAAAAAAAAAAAAGGAACATTCCAAACTAGTTATGCTGTAGGCAAAGCCATTTCTCAGAAAATCTTAAGAGGTTTTCAAATACTTTGTTTATAAATTATAGTACTCATTGTCAAACAGTAAATATGCACCCTTTATGCCCTAAGCCCTTTGGCTGCTCCTCTGCAAGGTTCCTCCTTTCCTGCCTTTAACTTGTCTCTTCCCTTCCTCCTCCATTCCAGAAGAGTTCTCTACCTTCATAGTGTATTTTCATCTTCTAGCAACTTCTAAACATTTATTTATATAATTATTTACTCCAATAGCCAAAGACAATATGGAAAGGACACCCCCACAGCCAGACCGCCCAAAATGGTTGAGGGAACAGGAGAAGTGATTGAGAAAGTAGGCTTTTGCTTATGGTAACATCAAACTGCACAGCAAATTTTCTGCTTCTGAAAATACTTGCCAGGCCAGGCATGGTGGCTCATGCCTGTAATCCTAGAACTCTGGGAGGCTGAGGTGGGTGGATTGCTTAAGTTCAAGTACAAGACCAGCCTGAGTAAAAGCAAGACCCCCCATCTCTACTAGAAATAGAAAAAACCTAAGGCAAGAAAACAGCTTGAGCCCGAGTTGGAGTTTGCTATAAGCTATGATGGCATGGCACTCTACCCAGGGTGACAGCTTGAGACTGTCTCAAAAAAAGAAAAGTATTTGCCAGCAATTTTATCTACCTTCCAAATACTGAAGAACAATCCCTCTCTCTTCCTTCTCATTCCACTGCCCCGTCTTCAATCTTCTTGGAAGGCAAGGCTAATATAGCAAAGCAACATCATCATCGTCATCATCATCATCATTATATATTTTTTGAGACAGAGTGTTACTCTGTTATCCTGGGCAGAGTGGGGTGGTGTTATAGCTCACAGCAACTTCAAATTCTTGGGCTCAAGCCATCTTCTTGATTCATCTTCCCAAGCAGCTGGGACTACAGGCACCCAATACAACACCCAGGTAATTTTTCTATTTTTAGTAGAGACTGGGTCTTGCTCTTGTTCAGTCTGCTCTTGAACTCCTGAGCTCAAGCAAGAGTCACCATGCCTGATT